TTGGAGGAGCCATCTAGTCCTATTTACCGGCCATCATGTGTACGAGATTGGCCAAACGGTTGTGGCCCAAAGCTGAAGTTGAAGGTAAGGAAACGGACGGCCAAGAGGCAACGCAAAGCAAAGGCTCGAAAAGCAAGTCAATGTTGGTGCAAGCCTTGTTCGAGGAAAAGGCGAGTTCGCAAGATGGTGGCTCGAAGGCAAGGTAAGAGTAGAATGCAGGATGGATGGATTTGGCGAGCTGGTGATTGTATTGGGTTGGATGGATGGGACCCATGGCCATCGAGCGAGCCAACGGAGTCAGACGGCAAAGGGGTCGATGAGGATCGGCTATCGAGCGTAGTGCACGCATCGGGCCATGATGCACGCGATAGGGTGAGGCACACGACGTCGAGGGTACGCAGATGTGGAGTAGAGGATCGAGGCACAAAGGTTGATTGGGACGCGTTGGCATTTGGCGGCAAAGAGACGGGAAGCATGGGTTGCGCAAAGGCAGTGCACGCATACAAGGAAGCCGACGGTGGCGCGGTGCTCGCGGGCAGTAGCGAGTGGACGTACGCGGGCGAGGAAGTCGGCAAGACCGCGGGGCGCGATGGTGATGGCGAGATGGCTGGCGTGCGCAGTACTCGCGGGGGTGACGAGGACGCGCGCGGGGAGGCCAGCAGGGGCGCGAAGCGCGCGAAGGCGCACGAGTGCGCGACAGACGCGCGAAGCCTAAGCCGTGAGGGCATAGGACTAGCGGGCGCGGATGCGCGCAAGAAGGACGGCGATGGCGAGATGCGCGCGAGAGCGCGCGAATGTAGCACAAGCGCGGGAGTCCTAGGCGGGGCCGGATTAGGAGACGCAGGCGAGGGGACGCACACTCGGGATGATGGCGGCGCAGACTGGGGCCTTGCAAGGACCCGCGCGTATGGGACTGACGAGGCGCGCGATGCCTCGCGCGCCAAGGATTAGGCAACCGAAGGGCGGCGCGTGCATACGCGTGAGACGCGCGTCGCGTCGGCGGCCGAGGGTTTTTAAATTAGGGAGCATTCTAGAATTGCTTGGTGTGCAAGCCAAGCAATAGTTATTTGGTAGGTTTAGGATTTTATTGCTTTCTAGTGTTAGGATTTCTATTCTTGCATGATTTAGGAGATCTAGTATAGTTAGGCTTAGATTTATTTTGCAACTATAAATACCCCATGTACCTCATCATATTTCATGTCTTGAATTGAGTATTGAATTGGTGAGCCAATTGAGAGGGGAACTTATGTTCTTACGTGTGTTTAAACAAGGCCGTTAGTGCGTGTTTACATACAGTGTCGGAGAGAATGCCATTAGAGCGTCTTGATGTCACAGTGTCTAGGAGAAGGCCGATAGTGCGTCTGTTAGATACACTTATCGTGGATAAACGAAGGCCCTGATTGCACGGTTATTCACAACCCGTATAGAGTAAAGACACGATCCGTCATCA